CCAAGTGCAGGAGTGCCCTGCTGAGTTCTTAGTGCCTGGAAAAAAGTTCAAACTCTGTGTCCCTCTGGCCTGCGAGTGCCCAAAGTCGAAATCCTGGGGGTGCCCTCTAAATCTGCCTTTGCCCTGCACCGACTGCGCTGGCCTGCGCTCACTGACATGACATGACATGACATGACTTGACTTGACTTGATCAAGTGTCTCGTGGATCTGCATCTCGTCTATGCTCGTGCATCGTGCATCTTGCATGTCTTGCAGCCGATGTGATGGCTGATGGCTGATGGCTGATGGCATGGTTGTCGGAAATCAACTCCCTAGACTTGGGTGTGAGCGTGGGTGTGGGCGTGGGTGTGGGCGTCGGCGTGGCCACTCGACTAGAAATTTTCTCCCTTGGGCGCATGTGCACCCACCCCGCGGCGCATGCTGCAAACCCCTTGCGAATCTCCAAATCTCCAATCGTCCCCCAGAAGTGCCCTTTGCCTTTGCCCTTTGCCCTGCGAGCGTCGACGAGGTGCGTCACTTGCCCAAAGTTGAAATCCCCAGGAGAGCCAGAGAGCCAGAGTGCCAGAGCGCCGGCGAGTTCTCCAAAGTTCAAGTTCTGCGAGTGCCTGGCCTGCACCGACTGCGCTGGACGGCGCGGGACTGCCCTCGAGTGTGTTTGACCTGCCCAACTTTGGACTTTAGCGACTTTGGACTTGGACCACTGCCTTAACTTGACTTGACTTGACATGACACCCTCACTGCCTTATTGTGCCCGTTGGAGTTGAATTCTGTAGCTTTGGAACGCCGTCTGTCTTGCTCACGTATCGTGCATCGTGCATCTCAGGGTCAAGTATCCATCAAGTATCCATCTCTTTCACAGTCCGTTGTGTATGCTCCAGGGTTAAATATCCATCTCTTTCACAGTCCGTTCTGTCTATCTGAACAATCTCTGCCGTGGTTCGTGGGATAATCGGCCGATTTAATGTAGGATGGACGGCCGGTAGGCGTGGGGTGGTGGGCATTGTTTGTAGCTGTGAGGTATATCAGCAGAACGGACAGCTATGGTCCTGAGAGAGAATGGAGACTTACACGTGCCAGATGATCTTCCTTGTTGCAGATGTTGCCTTATTGCAGTCGAGGCTTAAGGGTAATCTCGGGCCAGATGGCCTTCCTTGTTACAGTCGAGGCCGAGGACAATTACGTTGGAGATGGCCTTCCTCATTGCTGTGCAGATGGCCTTCCTCGTTACTGTGCAGATGTTGTAAGTGACCTTTCGAGGCTGAGGTAGGTGTTGTAAGTCATCTTTCGAGGCTGTAGATGATCTCGAGCTAGATGGCCTTCATCGTAGATATTGCCAGTCATCTTTCGAGCCAGATTACCTTCCTCATTATAGATGTTGTAAGTTTATCTTTCGAGACTGAGGACAATCTTGAGGATAAGGACAATCTCGAGCTAGATGGCCTTCCTCTTGCAGATGCTACCTTATTGCAGATGGTCTCCCTCTTCGTAGATGACCTTCCTCGTTGTAGGTATTGTAAGTTCTCTTTCGAGACTGAGGGTGAGGGTAATCTCGGGCCAGATGGTCTTTCTTGTTGCAGATGTTGCCTTGTTACAGACGTTACCTCGTTGCAGACGACCTTCTTCGTTGCAGTGTAGATGTTGTAAGTCGTCTTTCAAGGCTGAGGCTGAGGAGGTCTTCGTCAGGCTCGAAGCTCCTTGATTGGACAGTCCTACGGCATCATGTCAGTCTTGGGTTGGCCACAGATGCAGGGATAGGACACACACCTGGGCTAAGTGCTCCTTAGGCTCTTATTTGGACAGTCTCGACTGGATGTACGATGGGATGGGTAATCCTTCGCCATATGGTTCTCGTCACCACCGATAGGCTCGAATCTCCTTGTTTGGACAGTCGTACGTTTTGGTTTGGCCACAGATGTAGGGACGGGACACACACCTTAGCCAAGCACTCGCAGGGTTGCCTTGCAGAAGAAAGCATCGGCCTGAGGTGCAGCATTTTGTTCACGGTGTACAAGGACACCACCAGCCAGAAATATCCATATCAGCTCATTCGCAAACCAGATGGTCCCATTCTCCAGATCCACCTTTCCTTTCCACACATCCGCAAATCCTCAATCCATTGTCCAAGCCGAACATGGCCGCCGCCTGTATCTTTCTGGCAGGTAAAGGCAGTAGTACCAACGCCATTTGCACCCTTTGCTTTCCTACCTGATACTGAGGGCAGCCCACAGGCCAGTATCAGAAGTTTCCCAACCAGAAGGCCTGCGTAGAACTGGGAGTTGGGTTGTCGTCCCAACCAGCACCTGTTGAGCGTTACTTGCACCATCTCGGGCGCTGGGGGCGTTGTCTTTGTTCCCATCGATGCTGTTTCTAGGCCGGCGCCTGAGCATTCACGGGAGATGTCAATGTAGCGGTGGGAACGGCTAGGCGGTTTGGATAAATGATAGCAGGAGGAGGAGGAGAATGAAAAGGATTATCGAGAGAGATGCAGGTCGCACTGGATGGCTGTGGATAGGATCGTAGGATCGCGTTCGTGGCTCTCGGGTCGAGGAATGGTGTTATAATCATAGAAGCCGTCATCCAGATCAAGCTCGTCAATTTCGAACTCGGGTTTCTTCTCACGATTCATTGAAGTATTTGTTAGATTTCGTCTTAGACGAAGTTGCAACTTCTGGAAAGGATTATTTGGGAAGAGCGTAAGGAGGAGGAGAGTGGTGACATGATCAAGTGAAACCCCAGTGCAGCGCAGGCAGCAGGGCACTGATTTTTGGTTTTGCAGTGCACACCGCTGTGATGTCTATGTCTTGCAACAACAGTCTTGCATCAACTTGGACCCAACTACTGGAAGGCAAGGGAAAGAGGTATACTATCCTGCAGGACATTCACCATCTGCAATGCAAAGAGCTTCTTCGCCAGCTGCACTGCTTTGCCGACGCCGACGCCGACCCTCCGTATCTTCTGAAAGATCAACCAATCCGCGACTCGTCATTTTTCATGCTACTTCCTCGTTTTCACCTCACACAATGGTATGCCCTCAAGGCCAACCAACATTATGTTGGCGCGTGTCGGCACTCGATCTACTATAGTGGAAAAGATGCTCATCCATCCAGATAGTGCGTTGGCGTCAACTACCAGCGTACCGCTACCACTGCAAGCAGTTCGTTCCATGACAACATCAAGAGCCTGAAGATGCTATGACACCATGAAGGACCTGAAGGACACTGAAGCAGCCGGGCAATCGAATCGAAATCAGGTTATGTACGACCTTGACGTCTCGTCTCACTCGTCTCGTCTCGCGCCGACGATTCCACCACACCACACTATAATCATCCGTCGTTCATAGAGGGAGCTTCACCTCGAGCATCCACATCACTTTGTGCAGCAAAATTGGATTTGGCGATCGTATTCAGTGAAGACGGCGATTTTGTAAAGAAGAATTGCTGTTCTAAGGACAGAAACGAAAAGTGGACAAACGATACACAATACCAAGGCGAGGGCAACAAACTGCCACCCAAGCTCCAGCATCACCACGCCTCCACCATCATTCGCAAATATGGAGAACCGCTCGTCCAGCGACACATGCAATCCTTCCGCAGATACGCGGGCGCAGGCGCAGATTCGCTGAGAGGCAGTCAATAGAACGGCAAATGCACCGGACCAACCGACCGAGGGAACAATCCCATCCCAAGATTGGTTCATGGAAATCGCAAAGACCTGGCACAGCTCGTCGCAGATATTCGTGATGGCGTGCAGCCGGCCTCCAGCACGGTCAGGAAGGGATGTGGCATGCGATGCATGACGGTGACAGAGGCGACGACGCCGTTGGCGTGTAGGCGGTCGTCATGGATATCCCGGTTACGGCTACCCGAGCGCATACGATCAACAATACCCTCAGTACGGTGCTAATTATACGGGCTCGATGAATCACCGTGAATGGAGCGAATCGGCCCGTGTTTGATGACGTACGACGTCAAGAAAACGAATACTATGTCAGCTATGGACAACGTGAAACCGTGGGCCTCAGACCTGATGGTTACCGGACCGTTTGGTTTGCGACAAGTAGGGTGGAACAGGGGATCGGATGGGGAAGGGCGTAATGCATATCTCAGGCAATCCAGCGGCCGTCGGATGCCCACTGCTGGTTCAAGTGCTGTCCACTGGCAAGGGCGAGGTGTGCTGGATTCTGGCGGCGGTGGAGCGAACCAGACCACGAGAGGGGAGTGGTAGTCTTGTTCGAGGCTGAGGCCTCGACACTTTTGCAATATAAACGTTAAGAATTGACAGACTATACCATACCATAATAGGAAAGTTCGGACTGGATTAATATAGTTCCAGGCAATCAAATTGTAGAATTCTGGTTCTTTGCAACGCCCCGTGCACTGGCCATAACTTTCACGAGACGTCCTTGCTGCTCTCGTCCACACCCCCTCCTTCCACGACGGCGACAGATTCATCGCTTCACTGCCACACTTACACGACCGTCCGAGGATCTTGTCCTCCTTCAGCTTGAGCCAGATGGGAGCAGACCTGTGACGGCCTCCACTTTCAACACTGCTTCTACCGCTCCCAGCGACGGTCAAGGAACTTTGTCCACTTTACCCCAGAGCTCAAACCCGAAGGAGCTCCAAGGTCCTCAAGCTACATCCTCTCGTTACCACCATTTAACCTCTTCTCAGACCTCTACAGACTCCGCCAAAGCCAAACTTGGACCACCTCAAACCCGAAGTCAAGCCTCAAGGTCTTCAAGCTTCGCCACCTCTCGTCACCTCTCATTTAACCTCTTCTCACACATGGACCACCTCAAACCCGAAGTCAAGCCACCTCCCGTCACCGCTCATTTGACCTGTTCACAGAAGATCCCGGTCGATGTTGAGACTGTTGGCGATAACAACAGGGTGATACGCAGGTGTCCGTCGAGACTGAGCATGGAATGGCAGAATGGCTACAGCCTACAAGCCTTGTGCGCCTGATTCCCACCATCCGTAACAGCTATGAGAAAGAGGATGGCCGTGCACGCTGCCCCCAGGGTCAAGCAAGAGGCATGGGCGGATGCCGGGACAGCAAACGGTGCAATTGACGCTGGTGCTGGCTGGGACGCAACCCAGCTCCTCGTTGTACGCCTTCCGGCTGGGAAACTGCAGAGACTGCGGTGCGCGCGCTATCCTCGGGGCTAAGCGGAAGAAGAGTCTTCACTGGTGAGTTCTCAGAACAGAAATCTTTTCGTTCGGTACTGACAGACATTCCCAGACAAGCGAAAGCGATATTTCTGTCCCTCGTACCTTTGCTAGACTTTGTTCGAGGAGACCTCTCCTTGGGCCAGTCTGAAAGAGCTAGGCTTCAACACTCGGGAGATGGTGGCAAAGGTTGAAAAGAAGAAAAAGAAGTTAGCAAAGCTCACGCAGGAGGCCAGAGGAAGACATTTCAACCCAGCCACCCTCCGAATCCATATCTCGATCATAGTACTGGTGCCGTTTTTTACCCACGTACGCCAGGTTTTCAGCAGCAACCGGTGCAAATGTCGTTCAATGCGAATAACGTTCAACAGGTGCTGGCTGTGGCGGCACCCCGGCTTCTAGTTCTGTGCCTTCTGGGCTGGGAAACTGCCGAGCCGAGACTGGAGGTGCCTTGATCTACCAGGAAAGATGCAGGCGGCAACCGTGTTTGGCTGGAGCAGACTTGAATGAGACACTGGTGTGCGAATGAGTTGAGTCAGCTTGGGGTGGCGCCAAAGTGCTGCTAGATCTGCCTGGTAAAGGCGTCCCTGATTCAGAGACGTGGACTCTGCTCCAGACTTGTGATTGCATCAGTTGCCGACACTGGCGAGTCCGCAGCGCCCAGCTCGACTACTGATCACCGGTCCTCGTGTTCAGAACAACCTTGGGAAGCCTTCTGCCTTATTCGACTTTTTGAACCCTGATGTGGTCAAGATCGATGAGAACACGGACCTGACCAACGAGGAAGCAAGTGCTAAAATTGCCAAACTCACCGAGGACATCATGCCCAGGGTCAAGCGGGAGGCAGGCATGGCTGGATGCCAGGAAGACAAACGGCGCAAATGACGTTGGTGCTGCTGGCTGGGGCGGCAACCCGACTCCCAGCCCTGCGCAGTTGACACATTCGACGCCATGGGCGCGAGGAAAAAAGCAAAACAAACCAACAGCCACCGTCCCTATCCCCGTCCCCGTACCAAAACGCGAAAGATTGGGATTTCCGCAACGCAGCGCACGGGGGACGGAGTCAGATTCCTCTCTTACGCAGTTGGAGTTGCCACGGACAGCCAGAGGCACAGACGGACAGACAGCCAACCAGACACGAGAGCATTGGGAGCCTTCTGGACAGGTTTGAGCGCGGGTTTGAGAGAGCGCAAGCAAATTTTCTCTGGTCTTTTTCCCACCCCTTCATCTACGCCTGGTTCTATGGCTCGTGCCTGGACGGGATCCGAGATGCTCTTTGTCTTCATTGGCGAAGCGTTTCCGACACAGTTGCGGTCCAATGGATATCTGATTGCCGCACATCCAGGCATGCATGCGTTGAGCGTCTCGGGTTTCAGGAACGGAGTCTGGTTGCGAGTGCTGCGTGCACTGCTGCCAAAGCCCATGATGGAGGAATGAGAGAAAAATCTTGCCACTGCACCAAATCTCCGAGCTGGGGTGGTGGTGGTGGTTTTGAGACTCCGCATCAAGAGTTGTCGCCGACAATTCAATCTCGTGTCGCTCGCCGGCGTCGGGCTCGTTTTCGGCAATGTCTGGCCAGCAATCGGAGGGTCGATTCAGGTGGCCACATCTTCAATGGTGGTCCAACTGGTGCGTGTGCTTCTCGACGAAAGGCATAAGCTATGGCTAGCGCATCATCCAGGTGGGCTCGACGAGTTCCTCGATGCATGAGTTCTTCCAGCGTTTCCTCCAGCAAGGGCGGCGTTCGCGGGCCTGCAACGAACGAAGCTGGGGACGACATTTTTGTTGTTTGTCCTGTCGAACGGGTTGCAAGATCAGTGCTCGCCGTTATGTGCTTCGGGGTGGAATGCACTCGCTCAGAGTCTCGTTCATGATGGGAACGCCTCTCGAGGAGGGGTTACTTGGATTCTGATTCTTCCCCAGACATGCCTCAGGTCAAAGCAACAGTTCCAACCCGCATTGGCAGCCAACTGGAAATGCTGAGCCTGCTTCGCCGGGCCCGGCACGACGCCTCGTTCCAGGACGAGTCGTTCGGCGCCGCGCTCAACAAGTTCAAGTCCGCGTTCGGGAGATCTCGTCTGGAAATATGACATTGGCGGCACGCCCAAGTCATTGAGCTCAGCAAATGGAACCTCCCAACTCCGACATCTCACAGTTTCGTGGCTAAGGGATGTTTCTTGAAGTGCTGGATCTGCTCGAAACTACGCAGAGCAGTCAACCATGGCGGTGGTAGACAAGACATAACGAGGTGGATTGGAATGCCGTCCTTCACCACCTCTTCAAATTTCGCCATTGTGCTGCTGTTCTCGACTGCGCTTGCACTCCGGGTTTCCTGACTTTCACAAAATGCCCTGGCGCTGCCGACCCTTTTGGAGCATTGTTTCTTCCTGCAACAGAGGACGTGGAGGCGCCGGTCGTCTTTGAGCTGGAGGAGGACCCCACCAATCCACAACGTCAAGACTTGAAGCATTTCATTCCCTTCTCCCAAAGACATATCCTCCGAACCACTCTTCAAACCGACCCGGTTCGACATCGTATTGTTGTTCTTCGCTTAGGACAGACGGGGACAGCGGCTTCGAAGGCAGCGGGCGATCTTACGCCTCCGTTTGATCCTGGACGTCGAGTTTCACCAGAAAACCAGAGCCGCGCACACACACGAGCCAAGATCGTCTCGAATTGCAAAAAGCGGCGGCGGCGCATTCATTCATTCATTCGCCGGCAAGACGGAGAAGATTCATGACAAGCTTCGTTTCTAAAATGATGGTGTCTCAGGCGGAATATGAGAAGCGCTCCTCAGGCTCGACTCGACAGATACGATGCGGATTCACGACGTCTTCCACACACACATCTCTCTCCTCCACCATGCTGCAACAAACCCCCTTCCTGGGCAATATCGGCCACCATCGCAAGCGGAATTTGTTAAACGTGGCGACTCTGAGGAGCTAGAATGGGGGATCGAAGCCATTTGGGATTCGAAACTGCAGGGAGCCTCAAAACGACTACCGAAAGCAACAATCACCGTCACAAACGAAGGGGTGACCTGGTCACTCGCTCATGGGAGAACCATGAAACGAACATCAAAAGGCTACGGAAGCGATTTGTTGACGACTGCCGCTCTGACAAGAACAAGAACCCAGACCAGGGCTATTGAGATCTACCGTCAACAACATCCAACTGAGTCATGGGATGATGCCACGACACATGAATCAAACGGGGCTGAGAAGCTGCTCTGTTGCGCAGGACGATACAATACCGGGTTGTTGGGAGCAGCTCTCTCTCGTTCACAGACAAGACGTTACAATTGCGATTCAATGACTACGACGGATGATTGGGAAGAACGCCTTGAACGAAGGCGCACGCATATCTCCACCACCTTGTGGAAGGTGACAATAAATGCCACACGAATGAATGTCCCTTTGCTAAAAAAGCAGATTTGTTTGAACTTTGTTGGTTTGGACTTTTCCCCAAAGACCAAAAGTGGTCAAAACAAAACCCCAAGAGCAAGAAAAACGGTTTGGGGATCCAAAGGTGAAGAAAAGCGGGTTTGGATCGACACTTGAAGAAAAGCCGTGGGTTTACAGCAAGGGTGCAAGTATGCACGATTGGAGGTTTGGAGATTCGCAAGGGGTTTGAAGCCAGTGTACATGCGCTGCGGGTGGGTGTAAACGGGCCCAAGTGTGAAAGTTCAAGGGGAGTGGCCACGCCCGCGCTCACGCCTGTGGAATTCAACTTCGACAAGCACGCAAGCACGCAATCAACATACCGAGTGCAATTGAGTTTGAAGCCTTGGTTGAACCTTTTGCCAAAGACCAAAGTGTCCAAGGGCGAAGGCAGTCCAGCGCAGACCAGAGGGCAGAGGGCAGAGGGTAGGTCAGTCAGTCAGTCCAGAGGGCAACTTTGGGCACTCGCAGGCACTCGCAGAACTTGAAACTTTCTCCCAGCACCCAGCACTCAGGCACCCAGACACACAGGCATTCCCGGAACTTCAGCTTTTTCCTGGCATCCAGCACCCAGCACTGCGCAGGCCAGAGAACAACTTCCAGAATTTCCAACTGACTGCACTCACTACCACTCCCTCAATGACGCCATTTTCATCCAGCATCCCCTCCAACCCATGCTTTTCTTTGTCCATGCGACCGTTTGACACCCGTCCTTGTCTTTGGGCCAAGTTCAAACAACCTCAGTTCACACAGTCAGAGTTCGCATCCGGGGCACACACAATGTCGGGGCAAACAAGAACGGGGTAAATAGTGTCGGAGTGCACAACACCGGAGTTCACACACGGGGCAAAGTGGCAGGGGAAATGTACACCGAGTGGAAAACGCAGCTCTGATTCGATGGTGAACTACCGTGGCCTCTCCCCAGAACTATAGTTATATTCTCCCAGAGGTTTCTGGGCCGCAAAGCGCTCAGGCTCATCAGACCCACGAACTGTTTGAACCTGAAGTATGGGCTCGAGACTGTTTGAACCTCCTACAGTAGCTCTTGCACCTGATGAAACTCCTGTAGCGGCTCGTCCTGTAGGAATGTAACTGGTTGGGGGAGCACGCGGAACGGCTGCGAGCCATGTTTTTGGTCTCTTCCATGGCTGGGATCCGTTCCGTCCTGGACTCTGTTCCGAAACTGCCGCGGGACCTTCTGGAAATAAAGGAAGCATAACATCAGCGTCTCCGACCCGACCTCGACAGCTGGGGGATGAAGGTATTCGATACCTCCTCCCTCCCAAAGATCCGATCTCTTCCCCGTGCCGTATTCCGCCAATTCCTCATCCCGTACTCTTCTGGGTCTCTATTCTCTTCTTCAAGTTTTTATCCTTTTTTCCCCTTCGGTTTTCTGTATTGTGTCCGCGTTCAACTTCCTACCAGGCGCTATGGCTTGGAAGTGGTTGGTGATGGTCGGACGCGGCGGCGGTCCCGTTCGATTTCTGGAACGACTGTCAAGTCTCCCAGAACGTAAATCCTCCATCCAATCCTCCAAGAGACGACTTGGAGACTGGCAATCAGAGCTACAGAGGTTCTGTATAATTCGTCCAGACCGGAACGACGGGGCCGTCTGAGTGTTGTCCGGGAGAGGCTTGTCGAACTCCATGGAGGGGGAACGATCCGTAGGGGTCGTAGACTGGCCCCTGACGGCCTCATCGGCCTTCGGAGAGGTGCAACGGTGAAAGAATACGGTGTCTTCCAAAGGTGGAGGAGTGCCCCCCCCCCCCCCCCGACGCGGAGGATTAGATAGATGTTGCACCATCTTCCCGCTTAACTACTGACATCACCGAAGACGAGGCCAGTGTGCGCTCTTGGGTGAAGAGGCCACACAGAACACACAATGTTGCCTGGATTTCGGGACCCAAGCAAAGCAAAACGGAAAAACGTGCCCGGACTGGGCCTCCGCCATATCCAGGCGGCCAGGGTGGTCACAATTTTGAATATCACCATGAAGCAGCTCTCGTTCACGAAGCGGCTGCTGCAGTGGTCCAGTATTTTGTCGTGGTTGCCCTTTGCAACGCCTGGGTAAATGACCAGCCTGATGTGTGAGAAGATCCGGAAGGTTTCCGGTCGAGGGGGCGAGAATCCTCTTCATCTTCTTTGCCAGCAAGTTGTTGCTAGCTTCCTTTTCTGTTTTTCTTTTTGGTTTTTTTGTCTTTTTTCCCGTGTCTTTCCTTTGGAAGATGTTTTCTCTTGTTCTCCTCCTGTCAACTGCATTCCTTTTCCTTGTTGCAGCATCAAAACAACCCCGCCGTCCGCCTGAGCCGTGAACTTGGAGCTGGCGTCGTCTGATGGGCATGATTTGAAGGACGTGAGGGGTTTGACGCCCGAGGATTGTCCATCCCATCTCTCGACAGTCCATCATGATGGTGTTGAACCGCAAGAAGATCGTCCTTCTCACCGTTCAACCGTAAGCCTGTAGTTCAAGACAGGTGAGTGCACTCGAGTGAGTTGAGGCACATATTCGAGGCGGTGTATGCCCGAGGTATATCCTAGGAGTTGAGATTGTCCCAGACCCCTGGACCATTTGTCATGGTCCTCGTCGTGTTTGCAGCTGTTGAAGCCGTTGATGTATTTGGAAGTATTGTTATAGAATTCGGGAACTGGCAACGGGGGTTGCTCTGCATGCAGCGTCCTGATATCAGCGATGGTGAGGCCATAGCGGATCTCGCGGGCGTCGACTTGCATTGAGGAAGAACGCACTCGCGAGAGAGGATTGACTTCGTCTACCTTGCTTCGAGAGGTTTTCGACAATGTTGAGCGAATCGCGGTTTCTTCGCTTGAAGGGAGCTGAAGATCGCAGGGTGAGTGGGCTCAAGCTTAGGTTCGGCGCGAGGTGCACTCCAGCTGCAAGAGTTGTCGGATCTGGCGAGCCCCGTAGCCAGAGTCAAAGGAGCCAGGCACCAGGCACATCTTTTACTCAGCTTGTAGACAGTGGCCGGTCGGACGTGCGCAAGGGCCGTGGAAATAATGCGTTTGGGTACTTGTTGAAGTGATTCTGGCTGAAAGCTATGGCTGGAAGGAGCATCGGTGTCCAGGAAGAGATCTCTTCCACCCTGCTAGGTCTCTTAGGTTGATCCCGAGACCACCGGCGCGGGTCGAGAGCAGGAAGCAGAAATCGGTGCTGTCCGGAGCATTTAAATGATCGATGGCTATGCGGCGAGGGCCTGCAGCAATAGTGCCGTCGAGACGTTGGCAAACATAGCATCCCAAGGATATCGAGCATCCTGGCCATCTGGCTGAAGATCCTTGCGGGCTTCAACTTGCATCTCGAGTCGGGGAACCTTGTGGACGGTGGGCTGTGTCCTGGTATAAGGACTGGCCCGCTGCCTCTGCGAAGTGGTGGCCTCAAGGCTCGACTTTCGAGGTGGGATCGTCCCCTGGCGAATGGAGACCCGCGCTTTGTAGTGCCTGAGGCATCCGACGGGTGCGTGATGTGTTGCAAGACGTTGGTTAGGGAGTGAATAGCGTCGAACATCGGTCATCGAGTCTTGCAGCTGACCCTTGCTTGCGGTTCGGCCTGGGATAGTTCATGCTGGCGGCGTTCTGTGACGTCCCGTCGTAGAGATCTCTGTGAACCTACGAACCCCGCCAGTGGCATCACCAATGGACCACGTTGATGATGGAGAGAGCACAGGGTTAAGTTGGTAAAGGCGCCTCCTGAGCAGCAAATAGGGACCATATGCCTCACGCATGCTTTCCTTCCCGATAAAGATCGACGACCATAGCAGCAGCGACGGGAGTGTGCAAAGCATTCGTTTCTTTCATGGCAACGCGAGGCTGCGGGTGTCCTTGGGGCATGCTCTTGTGTACTGGATGTCGTTTGTATTGTTTTCCTTCTCTTGGCTCGGTCGGCCTGACACTCGAGTGTTTGGGCTCAGCAGGAAATCGTGGGAAGGAGGTCGGATCGAGGCTTTGAAGAGGATTCGGGTGTCAGGCTCGAAGTAGCAGCCCCGCAGGCGTGCAGTACATCCAGTCGGAACGCCACCTCGCTAACACGCTCGGCAGCGACTGGTAGATGGAGGTGTGAGGGTTGGATTGATACCAACGTCAACGCTGCTTGGACATTGCCTGTTGAACGTCGAGAGGGATTGGTATGATCAGATCTCCGGCGGGCCTGTAGCACCATGGCGTGGTAACTGTGTGCTTGTTGTGCCGTCCTCTTCTTTGGATGTTGTGTCTGCGGCCATCGATAGTGGTTCGCTTTGGTAGAATGAAGGAGTAGGTAGAATCCTTTGCCTGCGCATCGGACTTGCACTTTGCACACGTCCACGCCGCGGCCCTTGCTGTTGCCCCGCTGACCTGGCCGGTCACTGGGGAGGCTGTACTGTTGTTTGAAGCAGCTGCTGCGAATGCCGGAGGCCGAGGGAAGGAAGATCTGGACGAGGAGGATGCGGGGACGCGGTAACTGAGGGAGATATGCCCCAAACAACCATTTGCCTCGTCGGTGCGAGCATGGATGAGCCAGATGCCGCAAAAGGTATGTTATTCGTGTCTCAGTGGGAGGTCTTGATCGTCTCGTGCTTCTTGACTTCTGTCTCGGGATATGCGGGTTTGTGGTGGATGTTCTGCTTGTGGTCTCGGTTCCTCTCTCTTTCAGACACCAGTGCCTCGTAAGATTTGACAACGCGGATCGGGCAGGTTGGGAGGGACGTGTTTGGCAGCTTCGAGCACCTCTGGATGGCGGTTGCGGAGGCTCGAGGCCGGCTGCTTTGCCTGGATCCAGGTCAGCATTGAAGCTAGGAGACGGCGACGGAGACGCGTGCACCTTATCGTCGCTCGATCATTAAGGAGGTGACCAGTCGCAAGCATTGACTCTGTAGATATGACCAAGTTGGGCAGGGTGGACGGTCCAGGGTTGTTGATGCGAACTTGTACCAGTTCAACCGAGGTTAGTACGCAATGCCGACGGCGTCGATGTCCATTGGACTGATGGGGACGCTCGAACTACCAGCTTGTTGAAATCAAAGCATCAGCAGTGGTTCGCCGCGGCGCTTTTGAGGAGATTGTGAGAGGAGGTTGAAGGGCTGTCGCACGTACCGAGTATGTCTCCGCCGGGCTGGGGGAAGTTGACAATGGCAAACGAATGTTCTTTGCTCCCAGGCAGATTGTTGGAACTCGGGATTGGGTGCCCTTCCGCCCAAAGACACACTCGAGGAGCAAGAAAAGCCAGGTTTTGGGTCGGGATTGACAGATGGGCAAAAGGTGGACAAAAGTTGGTGTTTGGGCACTCGGGCTCAGCAGGGCATTAAGTAGGCCGGAGAACACACTTCCAGAACTGGAACTTTTCTCTCTCAGCACCCAGTCAGCACTCAGCACTTTGCACTGCATTGTACCGCACAGTCAGTGAGTGTGACGATGGATCATGGACGTGTAGATGGGGGGGTAGTAGTGGTGGTGACCCTACTGTTGTTGCCGCCGATGTTGTTGCACAATTCGCACAGATTCGCGAGTATGATACGCGGAGATGCAAGATACACACGCAACACAGACGAGATCCAGATACACGAGATACTCCAACAAGGCAGTGAGTGTGTGAACTTGGATTGTGTGAACTCAGTGGGGGTGGGCTATAGCTTTTACCGGTTCCCTGATGGTCTCTGTGGCTGCTGGACTATCTTGCCCCTCCTTGAATTCGCCCTTACGGTGCTTTATCGAACATATGCGTCGCGTAGTCCAGCTCCAGCACGTCCTGCTCTTCCCCATGGTACTCTCTCACTCGAGCCGCGGGAGATCCTCCCGAGACGGCCTCTCCGGCGAACGCCCCGGACCTCGCTCGCCGCATCTGCAGAGAATGGCTGCAAGACTCCAAAGAACTTCTGCCACGCCGAATTGCTGACGTAGTTCATTTGCTTGAGAGGGCAGGGCAGACCAGGACAGACCAGGCTGAGTAGTTAGAGCAGGGCAGAACGGCGGGTCGGGATCACCGCGACTGGAGTCTCTGGGACGGTGAAGCAAATGGCCCAACAGGAGAGTCGTCAATGCCCTTCATGTCCCTGGATCGACCCAACTGAGTGCAGAGCGTACTTCCCCCTAGGCCCCCTCAAGGCCACCCTCCCGCCGCCACAGAAACGATTTTTGCCACCAAACTCCTCGTGATCTTATGAAGGGAGCACCTTCTTGGAGGAGGCGGCGAGAAGGAGAGAGGCCTGGCAAAATTCGAGGTGTTTGCATGGCTCTCACCCGATGGACGAGGAGGAGATGGACCTTGGCGCCGCCGCACCATCTCAGATGTCTTGGAATGGCACGACGAGCTGCTGTCGGTCGGAAGCGGACGCCAGAGCGCTTGGATTCGGGCTGCTTCGGCGACGCGGTTCTCCTCTATCAGGTTCAAGTACCTATCGAGCTCGAGTCCGCGTCTGCGAAGCTGCTCGTGCCGATGGTGCACTTGTGTGTAGGCGTCCGGCTGGCCACGGAGCGTCCCCTCCAGGTCTCTCAGGAGGTGGTCACGGTCCTGCTGGGCTAGGTACGCGCGGATGAAGGTGTAGATTTCTCGGACTCGGGTGTTGAGGATGCTGATACGGTCGCGGTTGAGGGCCTTGTCGAAGGTGTCCCCGTCAAAGAGCCATCGCAAGGGCCGCAAGGAGTGGGAGTAGGCTCGGTACTTCGCCAGAAGGACGCTCATCTGGTCGGTCACCAGCCTCGCCCTGCCTTCTTCCAGTTGTTGGACGGCACGCTCAAGATCTGTGGCCACGTTGGCCAACCTGGCGCAGTCCTTAGCCAGCTCCCCCGCCCGTCTGGCCATGAGCAGCACGTGTCACTGGATGGCGTCCCTGGCATCGACCGCGTCGGCAGCCGAGCTGAAGGGATTGTAGCTTCTGCGGCTTTGGGTGCTGGGTTGATGAAAGTAGTGGATGCTCGCGGTGCCGCTGGTGCCGGCGTTGAGTTGTTCGACGAAGCCACCGACCTGCGCCAGCAATTGGACCCCGGCAAGATCGAGCTCAGCACCCACCGCTCGATGCTGATGCGGCACCCTGAGATCGAGTGCCCAGAGAATGTGGAGAGGGTTGATGCAGAAGGCGTGGTGACAGAGGTGGGAACCATGCATCAGCTGCGCGGGCCACAGACACAGCCCCGTAGCTGTCGCTGAAAGCTGTTGAGGAAGACGTTTCGGGCTTGCTCTTCAACCATGTGACGCCTCTCTGCTGATGTTTGTCCCTGGACTTCGGCTATGTGACTGAGATGGAATTGTTCAAATGTGGTCGAGGCTGTGCAAATAACGTTGCCAAGAATCAGAGCTCTGTAACCTGATTGGCTGGAGGTGTGTTATTGTGGGCCGAGCTTCCTAATTGGGGTCCATCATTGGAAGTGTGTCCAGGTATGTGTCGGAGATCGTGCCTCTGAGATACCTTGGCGGAACGCACGACCAAAAATCACAAAAACCCGGTCGGAAAAAAGTGCAAAAACTTTCCACAGAGCGCTGAACGCTCGGTCTGTGGTAGCGAAACTCGCCCCCTTGCGAGGGTTGGTTTTTCCGTTCCTACTGTGTGTGAGATGTGTGGTTTACCGTTCAGACTGTTTACAAGTCTTGATGCCTGCTAACACGGCGTTAGTTTGAACCTGTCAAGACCTAGATTGCGGGGGATACTTCGGTTAGGGATTGTGCAATCGAGGTCCTGACGCCTGCTACCGCTTGTAGTTTGCTCCGATCAGGACCTGGAAGGATCCCGAATCGCTACATTTCGCCCATTCGAACTGATGCCTCTTCCAATGTCCAACCCCGGCCCGGGTGGCAAGGTCTACACAGTCGGTGTGGGGGTCTTTGCGTATTTGAGAGAAATGTTGTCTAGTTTAATCCTTATTCATGAATTAATTTCAAGTGGGTCCACAGCCTTGATATGGGCAGGTTGCCCGGCTCTGCTCTACCTGCCCACTCTACGCTGCTCTGATATGCCCTGCTCTACCTAAAGGTTCCGCACAGCAACGACAGGCCGAGAAGGATACGATACGAGACTCGAAAGCCTTCCTCCCCTCCGGAATTCTCGAAACAGCCTCGAAACCTCGCCATACTTCACCGTGCACATTAACTAGGACCGCGGACGTTTGTGTCTTCACCTGGAATGAATCCCTCTGGATGCTTTCATGAATATGGCCGCCTCAGAGCGACCAGCGGCCGGGCTATCTGGAAGCACGAAAGGGAGGAGCCAAGGAAGTCGTGATACCTTCGATGGTGTCCCAACAGCTTGTCACTGTTCGATACGGCGAATTCGCACTTCCAAATGGTGGCTTCAATGCTGGTTGCTGGTCGCTCGTCGGTGCCACTTCAGCCCTGCCTGGGTGACAGAAAAGAGAAAGGATCAGCTTCGTCTTGTGCTCCCCTCGCCAATACTCGAGACCGGAGCGAAAAATACGAAAAGAAAAGCCTCGCAATAGAAGCAAGCCCGTCAGTAAGCGGAAAGCTTCAAGAGCAGAAGTCCAACAGTGGGCTCACGGTGGGTACCTCCGTACCCTCTCTATCATTTCGATACAAGCGACAAGCTACCTCTAAGGTCGGGAAGAAAGCTGAGCCACGGAGAAAATGGATGACCTTGCTACTGCATGGGCGGAAGCAAAACACTTCTTATTATCGAACGTACTACCGAGCTACATGGAGGCACGACGAGTGTGGCAACCCCAGCCCGTGGTCTGCAACTTGTCTACGCGCAAGAACGGTCCCCATGTGACTGCGGCGTTGATCATCGGCAAGGAGATAGGTCCGGATCTGGGAGATGACTGGCCAGAAAGACTGGCATATCGCACACTCACTGACTCGACTTCACACACCCCAAGTTCACTCACAGAGTCTGTCTTGCGTATCTTGCAGCTCGCATGTCTTGCAGCTAACTGGATTGCGTGCTTGTCGGACTTGAATTCCGTGGGCTTGGGCGTGGGCGTAGCCACTCCATTCCCGTATTGCGGCATTCCTGTTTTGCAGCACGGTCGCCAATGCCTCTTTGGCCGTCGGGATCCTCTCGATGCTGGAAAAGGTCTCTTGGGCGTCGATTGCCTTGCCCATTTGCCTCTGGTCCTTCGATCGATCTGGCTGGGCCTTCAAACGAGCGATTTGCCGAGACATTCTGTTGACTGTCCCACCGCAGACGATCGAGCTTCTCGAGCGGTCTTGTCGATTCGGCTGGAATTCGCAGACCACCAAGGAACGACTCTTTTTGGATTTTATATTAGAGCTCCACTCTCATACCTATGGTAATGAAGGATATGACGACCTGGGCCACCAGTCGAAGACTGCGTCGAATGCAGGCCCACGAGGCGGAGGGACCCTCATCGTCGCCTCGAGGATCCTCTCAAACAGTCGCTTCAGCCTTGGTATTTGTTCCGTACAACGCTCGAGTAGCGAACGTCGAAACCGAGGTTGCGTGTGCGACGCCTTGCTGTTCAGACAAAGCAGCGTTCTGATCGCGCAAATCGATGCCGAAGCCTTGCTCTCTTGCAGATGATGATCCTTCAGGTGACTGAAAGAAAGCATCCTCAATGGCCGGTTGTTTCAAGGAACCGCTGACCCGCCACGGGCAGTCCCGGTTTCCAACAAAGCCCTCTTTGAACGATGGCGCAGACGAGTCGAACTGGAAAGATGCACAAGGAGCCAGAAGCACAATCTCGGCTGATTTTCGAGTAAAGATATGTGTCCACGCCTTCCAGCGAAGAGGCATTTCGAAGAGCTTTGATGGAGTTCTGCCGGGAATCCTGCAGTGGTCTTGAGATCGTTCCCTGTGGTCGAGCCCTGTCCGTCGAATCGTGATACCTTCGCCTCTTAACTGGCGTAGAAGAAACAATATCCTCAAGGGCTTTCTCGCTCGCGAAAAGGCGGTGTTCGTGGCGTGGTCTGAGCGATTGCGGCGTCCTTGAGGACCAGCAGAGATCGAATAGTATGCCGTGGATTCCACGGAACAATACCCACGAGCCTTCCTGCCAGACTTGATATTGGCGATGCTGAGACCTTCGTCGCATTGCTTGCAAGAGATCTGTCGGCATGTGCAACTGGTGGTTGATGCCCTTGGCCAACTCTGGTACAACTCTCATGCATTCGCCTTGGTCTAGGGGTAGATAGCTCCACATCCTCGCCTGTTGCCAGTCTGCTTGACAGGAAACGTTCTATTGCAATCCACGATGTTGTTCTGATGGCATTTCCACATGAATCCGTGCGGAAAGCGGCACTTAGAGCCAGTTGTTCCCGACGCGTTTAGCGCCACTCTTGACCTTGCTACTTTCACCAGCGAGATCTCGCACAGTAGAAGAGATGGGAGCGTATCCTCTTGCCTCAGGTCAAGTATCCATCTTTTCAACAATTCCTCCTGTATACTTGACAATCTCTGCTGTGGCTCGTGGGATGACTCGGCCGATTGAGTGCTGTATGGTCGACGGACAAGGGTGGAATGGTGGACATCGTTCGCAGCTGCGACTGCGGTGGTGGACCAGTCAAAACGGGGAAGCATCCGATGCTGGAGCTGCGTCGAGGGTTCTGGATTGTCTTGAATTTCCTGGAATCTGGAAACGCAGGAGGGCATTGAGGCTCAGTCCTGTGTAGGCAGGAGACGGTTGTCGAGTCTGACACTGAAATGGGTGGATGTCCACGCTTCCCATTTTGCAACTCGCCCGAGGATTCAGAAAGGCTCAAAGATCAGACAAACGATTTGTTTCTCGAAGGGACTCCAAGCAATGCGGTTGAATGTCCAGTAGGTGATGAGCTGGGAAGATGCATGGAGATTGAGCCATTACTTTCCGAAGTGAACGAGAGCGGGAGGGGGGCTTGTTCCACCGATCATCTGTGTTTCGGGGACTTTTGCTGTCAAGCATCCAACGCAGCCATCGGCGACAGGGGCAAGGTGACGAAAAAGGAGATGCGGCGAGCCGAAAGGAGGGGCAAAAGGGTGGTTCTTGGGCTGGCTAGCCCTAGCTTCTTCGAAAACGTTAGATAAGCCGTTGATAGGTGGCTGATTGGAGAGGACGCGCTGGAATGGAGCCGGCCAGCTCTTTCAGGCTCGAGATAGAGGGGGCATTTCGTGTGGCCGTGGGGCTGGAAAGGGCGGGCGGGACGAGAAAAACATGGCTGACTGGGATACGTGATTGCAGAACAAGAGAGCAAGAGAGCAAGTGAGCGGGTTTGGAGAGTTGCAAGTGTGCAAAGTGTTCGCAATTTTGAAGATTCGCCAGTTTGGACATTTGCATGGGTGTATGCAAGTGTGCACAACGGCCCAAGGTCTCCTCCCCCCTCCTCCCCCCGGACAAAAGTTCAAGTGGAGTGGCCAAGCCACTGCCCACGGAATGCTGACAACGCCTCAAGTTGTTGTAAGGCAAGTGGTCGGCGAGTGCCCAACGTTTAAATCCTGGAGGTGCCGTCGAGCGCCGGCGAGTTGTCGGAAATCAACTCCCTCGACTTGGGCGTGGGCGTCAGCCGTGGGCGTGGGAGTCGGCGGGTTGTCGGCTTGGTTGCCGAATGGGCGTCGCTCGCTCTTTCATCGACAACGTTCTGCGAAGTAACACGAAGGGCCTCGGGCGGTATGGGGGTGTTGTGAGCGTCCGCTGGGGTACCATCGAGGAGTCGTCGTTATCGTCGTCGTCGTCAAGTAGTATGTACCGGTGGAGGACGCATTGGGACTTATGGAAAACCGTAGCAAGGCTGAACCGAGCCACGGCCTCCCAAAGTACTTCGCTCCGTCCTTATCCACGTCCCTCCCCATCCGCATCATGCATTGAACGCCGCATTCACTATAGAACTCCCATCTTGAGGCGGCAGATGTTATATAACTGTGTCTTCTGTCGATTGATGCTGCGGCGGCGGCGGTAGATGGAGTCGCCAGGTAGGTGCTTGAGTCTGTAGTCACCTTCCAGGTCAGCTGTCCCGTATTGCAACAGCAGGCGCCAGGAGTGTAAACAGCTCCGGCATGGCATCGATCAGGCTCTCTCGAACATGCCGTCGAAAGTGGCTAGCGCCGTCAATGGTCACACAGGAAGAAGACAATCCTCCGCAGCGCTTAAGTGGGAGGATAACCAGGGCAATAATATCGGAATTGGAGGGTCACACATGGCTGGCTCTTCGACGGCCAGGGTGGAGTCGGTGATGTCGTCTTCAGAAACCCAACGGTTTGCTGAGATATCTCCAGGAGTTAGCTAGGGTTGGCACCAGGGAGGAGAGTTCATACCATTACGGCTGGTTTCAAGACCGACACGAACATCAAGATCGAGATGGTATAGGCCTCGTCAATGGGGTGGATGTTGTTGATAGTGACGTATTTTGCTTGATGAGGCGAGCCCGCTGCCCGACGTCTGATCTGACGGCAATACTGACTGGCCTGGCATAGATCAGTCGCCTCTGTCGTCATTGGAGGGAGCAAGATCTGATCTAGCCAGCCTCGTCCGGTCTCGTTCGGTGTCCAGCCGTTTGTCGAGGTGGTGGTGTGTCGACGGTCTGGACGATGCTTGAATGGAAACCAGGATGCCTCAGGGTCAAGTATCCATCTCTTTCACAGTCCATTCTGTATGCCTCAAGGGCTTGTAAGTATCCATCAAGCATCTATCTCTTTCGCAGTTTTTTGTGTATATTTGCCCTAGGGTCAAGTATCCATCAAGTATCCATCTCTTTCACAGTTCGTTCTGTATATCTGAACAATCTCTACTGTGGTTCGTGGGACGACTGGCCGATTGAATGGTGGGCATCGTTTGCAGCTGTGGGGTACATCAGCAGAACGGACAGCCAAGGTCCTAAGAGAGAATGGAGACTCACGCGAGCTAGATAGCGTTTTCTCGTTGCTGTGCAGATGGCGTTCCTCGTAGTAGATATTACAAGTCGTCTTTCGAGGCTGAGGCTGGGACAGTCTCGAGCCAGATCTCGAGTCAGATGGTCTTCGTCAACGTAGTTCGGCAAGTCGCCTTTTGGGGCAGGATAATCTCGAGCCAGATGGTCTTCCTCGTTGCAGATGTTGCCTCGTTGTAGATGTTGCAAGTCATCGATGTTTCGAGGCTGAGGCAGGGCAATCTCGTTGTTCGGATAGTCCTGCGGGCATCATGTCAGACTTGGTTTGGCCACAGATGCAGAAGGGGTGTCGACAGGATGGCACTCACCGGGGCCAAGTGCTTGCTTAGCTCCTCAGACTTGCTGATTTTGGCTCTTGCAGGCACGACGACCACGAGCTGGCCACAAGTCACGAACACGATAGACCCTCCTCACCACAAGGCTGAGCTCACACTTGTCGATTGAGGTGCTCAACCGGACAGGGCAAAGCCGGAAGGGGGCAATTGATTCAAGACAGAGTGGAGATGTAGCTTCAAAGAGGGTCCAACACACGACAGACAGACACGGTCTCTGATGGTCGAGGATGGAGGTTATGGCGGGGGGGGGGGGGGGGCTGGTCAATGGGCAAGGAAGCGTAGGTAATGAAATTGATTGATGGATTGTCCTAGGAGGAACAAATGCCGCTGAACAGCTGTCTATCGTGCGGTGCCAAGCCCCTTAGCTGCGTGCCTTCCGTGGCAGTCGATGCTAGGAAGGAGAAGAAAGTGTGGAATGGTAGATCCGCAAGCTGGGCGGGTAATATGCACCCAGCGGATTAGATGCTCCCCTCCCAAATGACATGGCCGTCCCTGCTAGCTGTCTTTGCCAGCTGTTCCAGTGCCATAACAGCCTTCTCTCCGCCTGGTTGTGTACACCGAGGGCGCAGGGTCCCATTCCCGGCCCTGGACAAATGTCCCAGCCCTTGCGTCCAGCGCAGGCCACCCCCTGCGTCGACTCTCTATCGCCTCCTTACCTCCTTCAGGTATACCCAGGGTCCCATATTGCATTTATCAAAGCTGATTCGATACCCAGAATGCGTGCCTGACAGTAGCCGAGTCTATCCAAGGGTAGTTGTCGACCTTATGCAAAGCCAATGGGCTCGAGCCCGAGGCTCTCCAACCAGAAGCCCCCTCCCAATCATCCCTTCACTACGTACGAGTATCGAATCCCGTTCCAGATGCGTACGCAGGCCCCTACGGCTGCTGCTAAGAGTCTGACCACGACCTCTCCGTCTGCCTTTGCAATGCTCGTCGGTGTGAGGTGCCGGCCCGAGAATCTATAGTTCTCCTTCTACCGGACGGGCCCGCGGAGCTGGGAACCGGCATCACGCCCTCCTGGGCACATCTTCGAAACCCTACTAAGCACGATTTAGACATCCCCAAAGAGCCGCGAGCATCAGCACGATCGGGCGTGGATACATCCACGACTACATGCCCTTAAGCAGGGTCAGAAGGGAGCTCACGCCTCGGCCCACGGAATTCAATTCTGGCAAGCACATAAGTACGCCGTCACGTTGGCTACAAGATCAAAAACGAGATACAAGGTCCGTAAGACAGACGAGATGTAGATCCACAAGATGCTTCAACAAGGCAGTGAGGGGGTGCAACCTTTTCCCAAAAGCCAAAGAGTTGGTCGACCAAACACTCCAATACACTCGAGGGCAGTCCAGCGCAGACCAGAAGGCACAGGGAGAAGGCAGTCCAGGGCAGTCCAGGGAAGTCAGGACAGCCAGGGCAGGCAAGAAGGGCACTCCTGGAGTTTGAACCATGTCCCTGGCTCTCATTTCCGCTGATGCCGGGAAAGCGAATGGCGCCAACGAGGTTGGGACTTGTTGGGACAACAACCCAACACCGAGTTCTGCACCTTCCGGTTGAGAATCTGCGGAGACCCAGCGAATCCACCAGGGGTGGCGGGCAAGATGGAAGAGCGAGCGAGCGAGCGAGCGAGTGAGCGATCGATCAAGTGAACATGGTCAACAAGAGAAACAAAACACAGCACAGCACAGCACAGTTAGTGAGTGAGTGGGTGAGTGAGTCTGCGTCGAGAACAAAGTCCAAGTCGAAGAATGCCCTGCTGAGACTGCGCTGGGGCGATTGTGCTAGACTGCGGTGGACTGGCTGCGGTGGACTGCACCGCACATTAAGCGAGTGAGTGAATGGGTCTACTTCGAGAACAAAACAAAGTACAGTCAGCCAGTGAGCGAGTGAATGAGTGAGTGATTGGGTGCTGGGCGTCGAGAAAAAGTTTCAAGTCCAGGGTACCCTAGACGGGGCTTCGCATCCAGGATGACCTTGAAGCCCGTGATTGAGCATCATTCAAGTGTCGATTACAGCGAAGGGACTCCCATAGGGAGACAGACGGCTGTCTTTACTTACGGAGACACTACTAGAGCTGCGAACAAGGCTGTTATGTCAGAATACATGGCCAAGGATTACCAGGTACATGAGGCTGTTGGCACAGCCCACGATGCAAACATTCGATTCATGATCAACCACTACAAGTCCGGCGGCCAAATACCCAAGCCTGGCGAAGGGCCGTGTACATTCAGCATTGTCTTCTACTAGCCTTATTTGCATCCTATTTTCCGTCGCAATATCTGTCGCCATTTTACCATTCTATCCTCAATCTCGACGGAAAAACGTGAATATCACCATGTTGTTACCGCCAGCAGTCTCAGTATCGACCGGAATCTTTCCCCAACAACAGCTCAAGCAGATAAACTCCACCAATCCGACGATTTAACAAGGCATGTTGGATGCGTTGTTGAGATGCTTCCTGCTTCCAGCTTCCAGCCAACTACAAGCCAGGTCCGCAACACTGAATCCCAAATGCCTGCCCTCTATACTCGTACGTCGTTAACCTGATTCAAGTGTAGGCTCCAGGTAGGGCACCTGAGGTAGCGCCGGTCTCAGCAGTTTCCCAGCCAGAAGGCCTGCGTAGAATTGGGAGTCGGGTTGTCGTCCTGGCTAGCAGTACCAACGCCATTCGCGCCGTTTGCTTTCCTGGCATCAGATTGTCTAGCCACGGGTCCTCCACTTGACCCTGGGGCAGGAGGCATGGCTGGGGTGCAGCATTTTGCACGCCACCCCAAGCGGACTTTCGCCAGCCTCAGCCAGCACCAACGTCGGTTGTACCGTTTGTTTTCCCGCCCGGCATGCCTACAGCGAGAAAACGACCACCCACACCACAGCTCAACGCGGAATTCTTGGAAAGGCGGAAAATAAATGCTCCAAACCACCCAAAAGATGTGCCAATTGGCCCCTGAGTCCATCAACGCGTTATGGGAAGCCATGGGGCCGGCGTGGCCGAGTGCAGGCGCTGAATCCGGCAGCATCAAAGAGCAAGCCACGCACCTTGAGGAACAATCCGATACTAAGTTGGCGCCCGAAATCCAAGAGTTCTTCAACGAACAACTGAAAGAACAACGCGAAGTACAAATCAGGGACCATAAAGCGATCAAGGCTGCGCGCAATCAAGACCGCCAACGCTCCACTGCAGACTGCGACACCAAACGGAACCCGTCTGGCTTCATGGGCGCAAGCGGCAGTGGCAGCGACAGCAGGGCCACCACACCAAGCTGTCTTGTCAATTGGCGACTTGTCTGCGCTGACAGCCTACAAGGGGCGAGGAGTGATGGTCAATTTGACCACGGCCTAGCGCAACGTCTTCGTCAAGTTTCGCCGTCGCAACTCAAAGTCAAGATCAAGAACATTCTGCGGGAAACACACAAGGTTGAGGATATCCCACCAACTCAAGAGTGACGATATCAACGTCATAACACATTTACTGCACGAGGCGACCGAGCTACAGACTCATACGGCCTGAGGCTTGAGGACTGGGACCAAGGGCGGAGGTGATCCGGACGATATATGGCGCGATAGTGCACGGCATCCCCGCTGACACAATCAACATGAACGATCAAAGGGAGCGGATCCAAAGAACCATCAACAAACGGGAACTCTTCCATAATGATCGAATCATCGAAGTTCACGCAACCCGACATGGCCGCCGCGATTATATACGCTGGCTTCCTGTGGGAAGGGTTAATCCACCACTGTCAACTATACGACCGCTCGTGCAGAGTTAAGCAATGCCTCAGATGCTATGACTACGGCCACATCGGTACTCGAATTTAGTGCTCCCGAAAAGTGCGGCCACTGCGCAGGTGGACATGAATCACGGGGGGCTGTCCTGTCAGGAGCGGTCGATGATTCAAGCCTGAATGCGCGCTCTGCGGAGGAGACCATACAACGTGAAACGCTGCCCGCCCAGCATGACAAGAAAGAGATGGCAACGAGTGGAGAGGGCAGAGCAAGCACGGAAATCACTACTGGCGCCGACGCCACCTGGAAGAAAGCATCAGCAACGAATTCGCTCAACCAACCCGGGTCTACACCGCCCACGTCAAACTCGGACAACGCGAACGGACCGGCAGGGCTGAGCAAGGGCCCCAGCTGGTCTAGCAGTCAAACCCATCAGGGAGTCACGAGTTCTCAGGCGCTCGAGACGGCAGCAACAAAGCAATGCAGTGCAGCACCTCCCACCACGCACGTACGCATCCCTCACCCTCGAATCAACGGTGCCACCATAGCAAACAGTGAACCATATATCCGCTGTCTCTGCGACGGTGATTGGCAGAGCCTCCTGAAACCTAGGATTCTGCAGCTGACAACTCATACTCACGAATGTTACCACTGCCCAGGAGAATTCCATGGGCGTGCCGACGAACTCAGCTCCAGAACCTCGATTTGTATTGGGAAAGACACGAAATCGCCGTGGATCCAACGCCAGGATATCGACGATACCAGAGGAGCCAGCGGTATGCAGTGGTATCCATCACCGAGAGAAATGTCGCGCTTGGAAAGAGAGAGAAACAATGACGTACGATGGCCTGTCACCCCGCCACGGAGGGGATGCTGCTGTAAAGAATATGGAACGTATTTACGACGACTGGGCCTGTGAGAGACGCAGAATTGATCATCGCGAGCTTAGATGAGGCAAAATACCTATTACTGCAATTTACCGACCACGAAAAATAACCAGCCGAATCGCGCAAAATACATCAGGGGCACGGCGCTGATGGTGACAAATTGATCGGCGCGGACTGGCGCATGTTTGGTGTTGTGGGGTTTGTTTGATTGCATGATTCAAATCTTTCATTTTGAACGAAAAAGCATGGATACCCAAGGAGATCAGTCTGGCTTGGTCTCCTCTCATGTCTGGAATCGACTCAATGAGATCATTCCGGGCTTTGTTTGGAGCTGCTTGGGGCCCTTTGCCGGCGATTTGGATCCGGAGGAGCAGCCATTCTACTCCTTCAAGCGAAATGATCTTGGAATCAAGCAAATAAGCTGGATCCATGAAAACACCGGGATTGGAGCGCGTGAGGGGACTGGGAGAGGCGAGCGGCAAAGGTCGACTGGTCGTTCCTCGAGGCGATAGTCAGCGTCATCGCATATGACAGCAGGATTGCTAGGGAGCAGGAGAGGCTGGCGTGTGAACAATACGTGCAACCTCTTATGCAAGAGTCCCGTGTGTTACCTCGAGAGGCTATAAGGTGTGAAAGCTGCGCAGAAAAGGGACGCGCAAGAGGCCGAGTTCATTGTCCTTTTTGGCGTTGGGATCGACCTTGTCGGTGAGCTGCGAGGGGGAAAAAGCAGGTCGGACTTCAAGGATCGAGCAACGAGCGAGGTAGGTAAGTCTTTGCACCGTCCAAGATTGGCCATCAAGCTGCGAAAGCTCGCCGAACAAATTATTCCACGTTTGCCGTTCTTTTGATGGATATTCGGCACATTCCTGACATTTGTTGATGAACTGATTAGCATGATATCGTTGTGCACCGCTGGCCGCAGCATCGGCTGCGCAGCCAAACTCCACCTCGGCAACAATCAATGCGGTTCATCTACAGTTTTTCCTTCCTCCACAAACCGCATCGCGCGGTGACCTTCAGACTTTGCACACCCTCCAGAGTCGCATCACCAGACATAAAAACATGAAAGACAGTTTTTTAAGCCCCCGGAACGCCAAATGAGAATCCATTGGCACTCTGCTCGATCGTTAATATCTCCGTTTTGTGTTGACTCTCTACAGCAGCTGCTGCATCGCCACGCGCCATCGACTGGCGCAACAGAAAGTTGCGATTCCGCATTTGAGAGTGGATTACACAGTCAAAGGACAATTCCATATTCTTTACAGAGATAGCAGCAACAACATCGTGGCGGACTTGACGGCTTATGAGGTGATTCTGACGACTTATAGTGAGGCCCAGAAGAGCTACCCTCTGGCAGAGCAGCCCAAACATCTCGCGTCCGACGACAGAAAGAATGAGCGGTGGCAGAACTACTTCCTCAACAACGTCAGACCACTTGATCAAATCAAATTTCACCACACCGTCCTGGATGAAGCTCTGAACGGGGATATCTGCGTTCTCTATCTCCAGACACATCAACGCCTCCTCTCCCTCCAAAATGCAATGACCCGGAGGACGACGACAAGCCCAGATCCATCGTCCTGACAGAGATACATAGGGCTGAACCTCCGAGCTGGGACTCTCCGCGGGCCCTAGACGACCAGACCATACATCTCACTAGCACTCTAACAAAAGCAATCGATGGATCTACCCCTGGAACAAATCATTACCCGGTTTGGATCAGGATCCGTCGGTCCTCGCTGAACCTTCCCAGTGGGCGCCGACGATATTGCAAGGGACTGACTGGTCATTGGCCGGCACATAGATCTTGAGTCGCCAAGGTTGGCCGGTGGGAGTACTTCATCGACATATGTATAGGGCACAACAGCCATTCCACATCACACACACACACAAATCAAAAACAAAAATGGCAAAAAAACCTGATGATTCAGGGAAAAGCCCCAGGGGGGTTTTTATTAGATTTGAATCCCGGACCTTGCGGACCTTCTCCCCTCTCGACGCGGACCCCTCCTGCTCAACCTCCATCTCTTTCTTCCTCCTTGAGCGCTCAACCCCAATTTCTCCCTTGCACTTCTCTCACTGTGAGGCCTGATTGTTTGGTGTTAACAAAGCAGATTGCAGTCATCAATTCGAGGTGGTGGAAAAGCTGTTGTGATGCAGTCCTGATCCGACAATTGTTGAAGAGATTCCGTCGTTATAAAATATATTATAGTGACAACAAACAAGGCTGCCAAGGAGATGGTAGTTGACTGGGTCACATGAGGACCGGCAAGCTTACAAGACGGTACGCCATACAAAAGGAAGACTGATCAAGAAAACTCTACAACAGACCCACCGATCGAAGATTACAGAGACAGCATCGACGCCTTGGGGTATATGGATGCCGGAAAGGTCGACTATATCACTGTGCACGCCGAGGGTGCTCTGGACGAGCAGCTTGGCCATCTCGCCAACCAAGAAGATCATGAGACCAGCAATAGGATATTTTCCCCCAGCATTTCCGGCAGTCAATTACGGGGAAACTAGGAAAGGACGAATACTCCCAACCGAAAGCCCTGCTGGCTGATCGTCTTGTCAAATACCGTGGGCAAGGCCCTAGAAGCAGTCATGGGTACCCCATTGATGTATCTGGCAGAGAAGTTCAACCTTTTACCTGTCAACTGCATTGGAGGACGGAAGATGGCATCGGGCGAGTACGCCATGCATTCTCTTCTTGCCCACTACGGTACTTGGGATTGCATCCTTCCTGAACGACCGTACAACGGCGCTTGTTCTGCCAGAGTTTACCGGGCGAGCGACAGGTGTCTTTGCCGGTACACCGCAGGGATCTCCGCTGTTACCGATTCTATATCTCTTCTGCAACGCCGATCTCCTGGAAGTTTGCGCTAGTGAGCAAGTGGACATGATTGGCTATAGAGAAGATGTATCTCTCCTCGCCACCGGCGCCACCCCGGACCATATGTGCTCAAACTAGCACATCGAGAAGCGCAAAAGTGGGCTCGGAAACATGGATCAGTATTCGCAACATCTAAATACACGCTCATTCATTTCTCCAGAAACTCGTATGTCAACACAAGACACCTATTGCGTCTCCCGAACATTTACGGTCGCGCCAGTGGTCTTCGTGCAGATTTCAGGGCCTCCAGGCCGACGACACACTGACATGGAGGGATCATGTGCAACGGATTCAGCAGAAGGTGTCCTAACGGCTAACCTGCACTCTCCTGCCTGGCATGGTCCCACCTGGGGCGCTGATCTAATGGCTCTCCGGCCGTTACTACCAAGCGATGGTCCTGTCTCAGCTTCTGTACAGATGCTCGACCTGGTGCAAGGGCCGGGAGCGCCGACAGTCAGGACGCCCTCACAAAAGACAATCACGAATGGCACGGCTGCCCACCTCAGTTCAGAGACGGACGGCCCAGATCATCTCGGGAGCATTCCGAACGACTGCCGCCAACGCAGCGGAATCTCGTTGCATGCATGGGCTTACAGGGCCCGTCCCGCAAAAAGAATTTGGAAAAAAGGGACGACGGCGGTCCATGGAGGTAATTATGCTGTACGATTTCGGATCCCAGAATGGCGGGTCAAGGCAGAACAGGAGAGGAACGTTGGCGCTAGGCTGAATGATCTGGGGCTGCGGACGAGTCTTCTGTCGAGTAGCCACAGACGGAACAGACACACTTACGGGCGACCAACTCGGTAAGCACGGGTGCATGCAGTAGGTGGCATGGTCAGGCTAGAACCGACGACGACGGCGACAGCGGCCATGGTGTGGATGCAAGGATGAACGAATAGCAGCACAGGTCAAAAGCTGGAGTCATTGGAAAGTGGCAGTGCAGTCAGAGCAGTCAGTCCCAGGCAGCGCAGTCTAGCACAGTACAGCGTAGTGTCTTGTTTTGTTTTATTTTGTTCTGTTTTGTCTCCAACCTAGACCTGCTCACTCGCTCGCTTGCTCGCCTTTGTGATGATGGATGATGGAGAATTATCTGCGCAACAAACGGCAAACGAATCTGGTCGTGGTTTTGTCCATAGTTGTATTGGCTGGCATAGTATTTGTTTTCTTGACGTCGTCCATCATCAAACGCTCCTCCGCAACGGTGATTCATCGAGCCCACATAATTGGCACCATACTGAGGATATTGTTGATTGTATGCGCTCGAGTAGCCGTACCCGGGATATCCATGGCGGATACCGAGCGGGAAAGCAAGCGGTGCAATCGACGCTGGTGCTGGCTGGGAAACTGCAGAGACTGACAAGAGTCCGTTTGAGATGGAGATTGAGGAAGGATGGTTGTTGGCTCGGTGCAATAGCGGTCGCAGTCAGTCTGCAGTGTGTCCCCAGCAGTCCTGGGCTTGGCCCCCGCCATCACGGGCCTGTTTGCGGTGTTGAGGCCTTGCGATTCACAGTCTGCGGGCGTGACCGCAATGTTGCTGACTGGCTCGTCCCTGTTCGTCGTATGAGTTGTTACCATCCTTGCTTCGTTTGGGCTGCGGTTGAGTCTGGCTGGGTCTCAGCATCAGTTTCCACATGTAGCTCTGTAATCAAACAATCGAAAAGTCGAACAAACCTTTCAAGATCTCTTCGTTCAAGAGGAAGATGAGCTAAGCCGACTGATAACGGGGTGCCAAACCGCGCATTCAAGTTGTACTTAGAGCTCTTGCACTGATTGGCCTATTCAATTTGTTAACAAACAAAAAATCATTTCCTTTTCCACATTTTTCAATTAATTTCCAATTCCTCAACGCTGCCCAGAGAAGACTGTCTTGACACCTTCTCCAGCCCCTGCATTGAGGAAATCAGCTTCTTCGGGTGGACAGAAGAATCTCTTGGGCTTCTTCTCTTGGGCTTTTTCCAGAAGACACCCTCGACCGCCTCACCAGCTCCATTTCCTAGTCGATCGGCGGCTGAGAGACGCTTGTTCCCTCTCCGTCGGGTGAATGACGGCTGGTTGAGTCTCTCGAACACGTTCAGCCTGTCGTCACCGTGGTTAATGTCGATGCCAACTTGGACACCCCCTGCAGGTCACACCAAC